AGGAGACCGGTAGCGGTATAGAAGTGATAGTCTTACCAGTAAGAGGTATACTAGCTACAATCATATGAAATCTATGTATGGGTAACTCAACATAAATACCCAGCAGGTTGGTGGGGAGGGTATAGCTCCATGTGCACTTGGGCTGCTGTGATATTTCCCTGCTTACCCAAAAATAGGTCAGGAGATGTTCAGAGTCTAGGACAGGGACTTCTTTCAAGATTCAAAGAGAGGTCCTTGTGGCCATGAGTTGAGTTGTCAACAGCTCAGGTACTTGGGACCAGTTGAGTTGACCAGAGATACCGGTTTTGAAACATTTTCCCTGCTCTATCCAAGCTGAGCAAGAAGAGTTGGGACTCTAGGAATAGGACTCTTTCAAGTCCTCTTCACCTTCTTCTCCCCTCCCATGCTATCATCCTCCCCCTTGAAACATTTTTAGGAATTCTTTCCCAAAAGTTCTAAAGGAATAGGTGCTTGGGTTGGCCAGGACCCAAAAAAGACCCACCCCAAACCCAAACACTTCACAGTTGGGGCAGGTATTGCCACATGTTTTGTAATTCTGCCCTGCCCTGACCCATGAGATTTACCTGGGCTGGCTTGGTCACTGTTTTTTGACCCAAACCCATTCTGTTTTCATCCTGAGGATACCAGCTGTGCCAATATTTCACAGAATCATCATTGGTTTGCCAATTGAGAACAAGTTTTGAATTGTGAGTAATGTCATTTTTCCAAGCTAGAGTAGAAGTGGTCTGTCAGTGTCACTGGTACAGCTTATAGGGTGTGATTTGGAGTTGTGGTGTGTAGTGTGTGCAGGTGGAATCCAAATTCAAGTGCTGACACTCCCCAAATTGTGAGCAAAGCATTTCTGAATGCAGCAATGGCTGTCTGAAAATGAAGCTTCAATTGAAGGTAACACCAATGTAGAACAACTTGGTGCAGCCGAGCTTTCACCAAGTTAGTTACCAGTATTTTAATGACCCTCTTAGAGCTTTCAAGTGTAGCTGTTTCATGATTAAACATAGGAGCACAGAACAAGTGGGGACAAATAACACCACTTTCAGATCCCAGTGTCTAGGGTCCAGAAAATATAATCTTGATACTTTAATGTCAGTGATGGGTCTACCCAAAGGTTGAGAACCAGCTTCTTCCTGCAGGTTGGGAGCCATGTTCTTCATACAGGTTTGGAGCCAGGTTCTTCCTACAGATTGGGGAAAAGGATAGTTCAAAGTGGATAAGCACTCCAGATGGAGAATTCCAATAGGTCTGAAACCCCAGTTTTAGACTGTTTAGTTCTGAATCTCACAATTAGATTGCTGATTAAAATACAACAGAATTTGAACCTCCCTGTGCTTGTGGGATGCAAGCCCCCTCCCGCAGGGAAGGACTTGTGACTAATTTACTGTGTTTGGCTTGAAGGGGACCAGCCATTTGGCTGAATAAATCCTTTTCTGCCAATTTTCCCCTCAAGATTTTTGAGTTACACTTTTTCAATGGTACCACTGTAATCAAAAAAATTTCCTGTATTTTTCTGTACCCATGTCCCTGAAAAACCCCATGGCAACATAGATAATGGATTGTTCCATGATTTCTGATGTGAAGTCCATCAGATAAACAGTGGTCAAGAGGTCTCATTTTGAGGACTGTGTGTGAGCCTGGGTCTCTATAGTGACAGCAGGACACAAGGTTTGGGGGGGGGCAAATCTAGATGTATTTCAGATGGATAAGGAAATACAACTAGAATAAGAGAAATGGAGAGAGAAAAGAAGAGAAATGAAATGAATAATCTTTCAATTGTTAATTTATTTTATGATCAAGTTTTAATGCAGTCTTACTTTCCTTAGAGGATGGCTGTTATTAAGCAGAATTAATCTATGCCTCCTAATCAAATGAAACTGAAAAGGGTACCTGGTATTGATAAGTCAATCCGGCCACTATTTTTTAGATCTAAGATCAAGGGTCTTTAAAGGGAAACCTATGTGGTTTTTAGTTATACCACCAAACAGAGAATGAAGATGACTTGATTGGATATGATGATGTTTGAGGCAGAGGTTTAGTAGAAACAGAATGAAGTGTTCATTCAGAGAGACAGAGAAGGAACTTAGCAGAAAGATGCAAGCTGAACTTGAAGGAATGACTTACTTATTGGTGATCCTGACATGAAGGGTGGGAAGATTCCAATGAGTAAGGGACTCCTAACAATAACACGGCAATGATACGGCGGTGAATCCAAGTTGAGTTATGCTGGTTTTCTGGTCTGAGTTGGTTATGGGTGGTCTGAAGCTTGAAGATCCTGAAAATGCAAACTCAGTATCCTCTGAGAGAATTTTCAAAGTTGGATTACATAATCACAACATGTACATGTGGTAGAGAGTTGGAATTCCAACTTGGTTGATATTTCAAAAGGTACGGTGAAATATAAGTCTATGAAGGAGAAGAGTA